ATATCGGATATATATCCGATATATATCTTGATATATATCCCTTGATATATATCCTCGAACCCTGAAAATTTTACACTAGTCAATGTGTAAAGTCCGGTCGCCGAGCAGATACAATTTCGTCCAGTGACCCCAAGCTACCCATCCTTATCGCTCGCACGTAATTATATTGCTGTCGCGACTGTGCGACGGGTGGCTGCAGTGAGTGTGCGACAGCAATATAATTACACGCGAGTGATAAGGATGGGTAGCTTGGGGTCATTGGACGAAACTCAATCTATTCTATTCTATCAGGTCTATTTCAGAATAGAATAGCGATTTTGTTTGTCTCCGCGTCTATAAAAAACAATTATGCTTACTGGTCACAATAAACCCACTGGTTTACTCTCGTAGATTATTCCTAAATAATGATTTCCCCCAACAATTAATCGTTCCCATAAGTTAATACTTAATCTTCCCGTAAGTTAATCTTAAATGATCCCGGTAGTTAATACTGGCGGGATCATTTAAGAGTATAGACGTAAGTGTTTCCATGTACGACGGCGGCGCGCAGACGACTGTTCGCTGGGGCGCGGCGGCGACGCTTTATAGGTCCTTTAGCGCTATTATGTGAGCTGTGTTTATGACCATCATCATCAATAGGTGAATCATTAAAGAGTACAAAGCCGGGTCTCCTGCATACTTTTTTGTGCTTCCTAACACCATAATGAAGATTAAAAAATATGACGCTTTTGCGGATGAGCCTAAACTGGAATGGATATTTCAGTCGCAGGTAACTGCGCAATGTTTTATGTTCATAAACGTGGTTGGTTAGTTCTTAGAGCAGGAGACCCGCCTGTAGACGATATACTTGGATCATATTAAAAATAAAATAGATGTTATGTATCGGTAGATGTAAAATGTAATAGATCTGAGTAATGAGTTTTTTTTTTGTCTAACTAGATTCTACTCAATTCTAGTCACATCCTGTAGGTAATTTAGCAGTTCCCTTGACATCATAGTCAGGTTTAGTCTCCATTGCAGGATACGACCCTATGTAACGTAAATGCATCGGTATTTTTTTAGTTTATTTTACATTCTAAAATCGTGACAACATCATCATAATCTTGCTGTGCGAAAACGTTCTTAGAGCGCTTTCACATTTAGGCGACTTTAGCAGCGCGACAAACGCGAAATAGACGCGCTGCCGATTATTTCGTACTATATACAGCGAATACCTGCCTTCGCATTATAAAAACGCCGCTGCCACGCTGCTGTCGCGCTTCTCACGCCCCAATGTGAAAGCGGCCTTATCGTTGACGGCATAAAGTCTAACCACATGTTTTGTTTGGCACAGTTCATGCAGCGAATGGTGTCCGCGATGTCGACGAATCAGACGAACTCGTCGCAGCCGCCCGAGCAGCGCTACTCGCAGCAGCTTGAGCAGCTGGCCGCCATGGGCTTCCTGAACAGGGAGGCCAACTTGCAAGGTGAGCATTTGTTAAAAAGCTCGGAACCTGTTTGAAAAATACCGTTATTTATTATGTTCTTTAACGTCGTCGTCGTCGTTTCAACCAAATGACGTCCACTGCTGGACAAAGGCCTCCCCCAAGGTTTTCCATAATGAACGGTCCTGCGCTGCCCGCATCCAGGCTCTTCCCGCGACCTTTACCAGATCGTCGGTCCACCTAGTAGGAGCCCTGCCCACGCTACGTCTTCCAGCCCGGTTCTTTAACGGTTTTTGCGAAAACGACATTCATTTCGTTCTTTAACCGAAAAAACCGGTTAAAGACGCACGGCCGGCGTCTTGCATAAAACGGGGGCGCGGGACACACGCACACAATGAAGCGGCCACATCGTCTATGCCCCGATATAACGGTTAATTGTGGTAAAGAACGAAAACGTAACCGAAAACTTGGTTCTGAGAAATAACGTCATTAATACCGGTTTCGAAGAACGAAAACGAAATTATTTCGTTCTCATGTACTCAGGGCTATAACATTTTGAAAAATTAACCGGTATCCGAGCCTTGGTTGAGGCACATCGTAGGTATCGACTATCGATAGTCCCTTAAGAATTTTTCTATATTTGTTTGTAGTCGGGCAATAGTTGCACTATCGATAAATTAATCAACAGCAAAAAGAAAAAAAAAACTATTATAAGTATTGTACAAAAACTTGATATAAATTATTGGTTTAATAATGAACTTGTAAATCTTGTTATCATTAATTTCAGAAAAAATAAAGTGTGGTTTTATTTCAGCTCTGATCGCGACGTTCGGCGACGTGAACGCAGCTGTGGAAAGGCTACTGGCCCTCGGCCAGCTGTCCATGAGCTAACACGCGCGCCCGAGACCGCTCCCACGCATGGCTACTACTCGCGACCACTCACACCGTCCCGGCTGCGAAGCTCCACGGATTTAACATGTAATCGTCTTTATTTCTTTGTCACAAAGTTTATTTCAGAATCAATCAGACAGACGGGCTTCGTATTTTGGATCGGTTCTCCATCTCACTTCCTTCATATCTTCATACCTCCGTAACGTTTAGTCACTAGAGTTTTAACACTCCGTTTGTTTCCATATTTTCCAACTGTTTCGATATCACGGTTTGTCACTGTCCACTTTTGGTGTGTTTGAAGTGTACTTGTTTCTAAACAACGACTGTTTGTCTTATGGTATTCATGTATTATGGTTTTGGCGAAAATTTGTGGTATTTTAAATGGCAAAAATCCATATAAAAATAACAAAAAAAATGAAGTACACGTGAGGGAAATAGCGTGATCGGGTCGGCCTCCTTCGAAGCTACCTCAAGGATCTTATGTAAGAGAAGGCTAATTTTCTATTATTCTGTCCTTTTATATTTATTCTTTACACTTCTGATGTGTAGTTTTGGAGGGTTTAATTAAGTAGGTTCCTACAGTTATGTTGGCACTGCAGTCAATATGAGTAAGTAGCCATTATTTAATTTGTTGCCTGTACATCCTAATATTCCCGATCGCTGTCAGGGAGGATTGTTTAATCCTCATAATAGGTTTTTCCTATACACATATTTCGATTTCATTCCTTCTTGTTTTTAGGTAATATGCGAAATTGTTTAAGGAAGGTACTCTTTCATGTAACAAGTCACTTGATTTATGTATTTTATGGCTATTGTAAAGAAAAATATATTTCTAACATTTAATTTAATCTATATATACTTTTTTTATTATTGATGTGAACTTGTAGCGTTGATTATTACATACATTGCATTGCAGTAGAATTATGTAAATAGTTTTGCTTACGCAATAAAAATATGTCCGACACAAACACAACTTCAGGCGTTAATGAAATCTTGGTTCTGCTATTTATTAGTAAGAGTTTATTATGCACTTATTGTATTTATAAAGCCGAACCAAAAGTACTAAATCGTATGCAATATTTATGTAGCTAAATATAAAAACACTGAATAAAATACGAAAAACTGTGTAGTTGGAATAAATGCTGGTAAAATATCTATTATGTTGTGGTGGTAAAATTATCTTCAATTAAAGGTTTTATTTTAGCATATCATAGTGGTTTTATAGTGAAGTAATTAAATTTAAGTTGTAAAATATGATGGTGTATACTGTTGCTCATTTTTCTAGCGAATTGTGTTGAAAACTATCCAGAATTTATAGAAAAAAAAACAAACATTATGCAACAATATAATATTACGAGTAAAAGGTACATTTAATTTATGAAAATTATAGCAATGATCATTGGTGCATACGTGTGTAGGCATACAAATGTAAAGTATAATAATTATTGTCGTCATACGCTGTGTGTGAAAGGGTTCCACTAAATGTAATTATTTTCCATTGAGTTGGTGTACTTTGAGCCGAATTTTAGATACATGTTTGAATAAAAGTAGGAAAGCAAGATCATAATGTATGACATCATAGTTCACGCCTTTTATCTAATCGTTTACTTGTTCAACAATTCTGTTTTACAATTTAAAAAAATAATCTACAGTCGTGCGATGTGGATGTCATTGGGAGGCCTATGTTCAGCAGTGGACGTCCTGTGGCTTACGTGATGATGATGAATCTACAATCAACGCGTTTATTTGGAAATTGAATTATATCTATTTTAGTTGATATTTAAGAATACGTTTTTGTATACATGATATGAGGCGTGTGTTCTGTGATGTATTCTAGACTGCTAGAATTGTCTGAAATCGTATGAATCTGGGTGTAACATTATTATGTGACAGAATGCAATTATTATAAATAAATATAAACTACACTGTGGTTTTATTTTTCTCATAAAATCCTTATCCCGACACTTGATGATTGATGAAATCTACGAAATATTTTTTTAACACGCTTTTATGAGATCGTCGCGTATGTAATGGAATCTAAGAATCTGAATTACACAAAATTTTGCTGCGGTAATGCACTCTCTAATTCTTGTATCATCATGAAATGATTAGATAACAAAATGAGGGCTATCGTTTTTATACTTAACAGTTCGCACCCCTGGCGATTGACAGGACCTTACTCTACAGTGGCGCCATCTTGATGAGTGCAAATGCGATAGTCCTCCTACCACTTTAAATAAATAGCGCTCACAAGTTGGTGCCACTGTCTTCGCGACTAGCAAGTGACAGGACAGGACCTTACTCTACAGTGGCGCTAACTTGTAAGCGCTAAAACGATAGCCCTCGATTTTTTTTATTTGCCCCAGACACTGCCCATTCACATCAGAATCAGATAGGGCTCTAATTTTAGCAGATAACATTTTGCTGGGGTAACGACCGCACACTATATTATTATCCTGTCTCAAGTTGTGCAATATAGGCAATATATCATTCCGTGCTTTATATCGCTTCTAAAAAAGAAGGCTGTGTGAGTGTGATCAGTAGCCGTCACAGATATGGATCCATATCTGTGGTAGCCGTAAAACTTGGATCGAAAAAAAAAAAATGTAATGTCATGTCATAAGTCATTATTTGACATTGACATTTATGAATGAAACAAGACAGCTAGAGGACACAGATATGGATTGAATTTTCGGGATTTAAGTTGTTGTTTTCTTAAATATTGCTTAATTTATTAACGAAAACATTTTAATAAGATGTACAGTAACGTTTAAAGCTGCTACCAAAGTAAAATAACAAAGTGAGGTATATCATTAATTTATATAGATTTGTGTAACATTTATTTTTTAGATATCATAAATTTTTTCATTATTTCGCAGATGTATTCTCCTCGACAAAAGATTGTGTGGTTCGCCTTCAGCACCAGGATTGTAGTGCTGCTTCTGCAAGCTTTATTTAACAATCTTATTCCGGATCATGATGCCAATGTTTTCATCAGTCCTGAAGACCCAACACTTCGCAAAACATTTGCCGATATAGTAGTAGATAAAGTTCTCGGTGGGCTAAAACGATGGGATGCTCAGTATTTCATACACATCGCACAGTATGGATATACCTATGAAAATTGTTTAGCATTTTTTCCACTATTCCCCATGATTGTAAGATATGTAGCCTATGGCCTGTGTAGTTTGTTTGGGTCCTTGTTAAATTATCACAGTACATTGATGATATCAGCAACAGTTTTAAATCTGTTAATGTTTGTAAAATCTGCAGATATTTTACATAGAATAAGTTTGAGAATACTTAGAAGTGAATGTAAAGCATATAAATCTGCTATATTGTACTGTGTTAATCCAGCAAGTATATTTTTTACTGCACCTTACTCTGAAACACTGTTTGCTTTGATGACATTTTATGTAATGCTGAAATGTACTGAAAATGAAACATTAAGATTTGCCAACATTGATATTAGTAGTGGCTTGCCGACAGGCTTTTCCATGATCACTAGGTCCAATGGTTTAGTTAATTTAGGATTCATATTTTATACAAGTTTCAAAAATGTCATAGAGAGGACTCTGCCTGAAATTGCCTATAAATATAGAACCTTGAAACATAGAATAATTCTCCCATTTCTGTTGTTACCGTTGCTTACAACTAGTGTAGCATTATTTTTGACTGTGATAATTGCTATACTGCCATTCCTGTTGGTTCAGACTTACAACTACTTCAAGTATTGTGTTCATAGTGATCACAACCTACCAGAGTTTCTGTTCAACTCTGAATATGTTTTGCCGGGGAGTGCAGAGAGTCCTTGGTGCAATTACTCCTTACCCCTGTCTTACTCTTATGTGCAAAGCCATTACTGGGATGTTGGATTTTTTAAATATTACCAATTGAAGCAAATACCCAATTTCATGTTAGCTTTCCCTATTTTGTTTCTAATAACTTACAATTGTATGTCATATTTAAGTAACAATTTTAGACTATGTTTAAGACTTGGAATAAAATCAAATATATTTGGATATGGAAACAGGATGCCTTATAGGCCAAAACAATACTGCAAAGGTTTTGGGGCCAATGATCCTACCTTGTTTGTATATGTAGTTCATATAATGTTTTTGAGCATTTTCTGTATTATATTTATACATATTCAAGTGTCAACAAGATTATTAGCATCAGCTAGTCCAATTTTGTATTGGATCTGTTCAAGTAGAATGAATGTTGGTCCAACACCAACTTCAGACCAAAATACTATTAATGAACATTTTCGGCGTCTTGGAATCGGGAAAAGGATTCCATCTCACCATCTCTCAATAGCCAATTTAGAGGGTGTTGACAATATGTATAGCAAATGGAAAACATTCATAATATCTAGAAGGATGCCTGATTTTCAATCGCGCTTAATACAATATTACTTTATTGGATATTTTGTAATAGGCACAGTACTATTTTCAAATTTCTATCCGTGGACTTGAAGTGATGTCGTCATAACAAAACATATCAAACAGACGTATCCATAACAAATATTCATAAAAGTTAATTAACTAGGTAGCAATAGAAACTACTGTGGTAGGAGGTTGAACTTTCGCTTTTATTAAGAGTAGGCGCACACCGTTGATTTTTCGTCGGCCGATAGTTTAGTCGGACTGTTGATCAGTATGGGCATGTATGGGAGTGCGCACACTACACCGATTCGATTTGGCCGATTCTTCATACAATTTGAAATCGGGCACAACTATCGGCCAACTAAAAATCAACGGTGTGCGCCTACTCTAAAGGATCGTGATATGAACAGAAACAAACTATTAAAGGTATAGATTTTGGTCTGTGATTGGTCGAAACTAGGCTATTTACTAGATTGAAATCTATTCATAGCTTGATTCGAGTTTTACCCTCTATAATAGTGATATTGTGAAGACAGTACCTAAGTACATACCTAATTTATTTGATTTTCTATTATATGAAGTATTATTCCACATATCACGTGCTATAGCTACTGCTGTTCATTATTCTTTAGGACATGCCATTTTATCTTAACCAAAATTAAATTTGAATGAAGTAGGGTAGTATGATAGCATGCATGCAATGCACTCTGTATTTGTGGCAATACACACAGTTTGAGCCACTGTAAAAGCCATTTTTAATGTACAAATTAATGCAGTTAAAAAAGTAAGTTTTTAAAGTTATGAATATTGATAATAATGTGCCTGTACACAGTTAATTATGGAATCTTTGGCGATCAGATGAAATTGGCTCATTTCATAGCACCTACCTACCTAAAAATAAGTATTGTAAGTTTCTTCTGCTTGAAGTTAATAAAGAATGGGGCCTTTCAGAGTTAGTCCATTTATATTCTAGTTATAAAGATTGCCTTTTAAAGATATTCTAGTCATAAATTGAAATTCTAAATAATATATTACGACATTGGTAAAAAAAAATTGCGGACTTAAGACCTTTATTATTTTAAATAAATTAACGGTCTTAAAGCGTCTGTATCACTTTGCAATACTACCCTTTAAGTGGATAAAATAACAGTAGAGTAAGATTAACTTATGGATAAGTGTAGCTAATTTATTATTTATTAACACATTTTGTTTTAAATTAATTACAATTTACAGCCGACCTGTTGTAACAAAAGTGAGAAGGAAAGATGAGTTATGAAGTGAAGTATGTACTACACGAGTTTGTGTTCATTATTTAAAGCGCGCTCTACACTCGCGCGCGATTCTTGCTGTGAATTCACGCCGCGATTCGCGCCGTACACTTCGCGTTTATATGTGTCTCTCCACACTCGCGAAACCTCGCAGTCTCGTTTGCGGCCTCAATGGATGACGACGTGATTGTTGCTGCGTTGACGCTCTGTGCTATATCGTATTACAATTACCTATGTATTAAAAATAAGACACAAATAAAAAATGTTTAATGGGTTTATACATATATTTCACTTGAGCTTGCTCCACTATGAGTGGAATCCTTAACTTTCTTTCTATAGGTTCTATAACTGGACTGGAATATTCAAAATGTCACTTATCCGCGTCCAGGCATAGTGGGTCTTATTTTTATGGTCCTTGTGTTTGGACTGTCAAAGTATTGGTTCGGATTGAAAACACTCGATAAATTTCAACTTAAGTTCATTATTCCATGCCTAGTACCTACTCATTTAAAAAAAAAGAACGTTAGTAAGTACGCAATAATGCACAACCATTTGCGACGGCGTCTTCTCAGCTATTGCGAAAAACTGCGAGTGTAGTTGCGTTCGCGATCGCGCGCCGTGAACCAAGCGCGAACCTTTGTCGCGGGACAAAAAACCGACAACGAACGGGGAACGGCGCGAAGCGTGAACGTGAACGCGCGAAAGTCCGCGAAACCATCTACACACGCGTTTCGCGGCTTTCGCGGCCTTTCGCGCCGCGAGTGTAGAGCGCGCTTGACAGACGGACAGACGGACAGACGGACAGACGGACAGACGGACAGACGGACATGACGAAACTATAAGGGTTCCGTTTTTGCCATTTTGGCTACGGAACCCTAAAAAGTAGGTACATTTTGTGTTTTTATTATTATTAAGGCAGTTAAATACTGCACAGTATTTAGTACACCATTTTCTTCCATCATACACAAGAATACGCGTGCGTGAGTCAATGTTCGCTCGTATGTGAGGCCTTGTCGAATAGTATCCTGTAGGTGGGCCATCGTGCATGTTTTGTTTTCGATGTAAACTCGCGGAGATGAACAGACCTGGTTAGGCTAGCAACTTGACTGGGTGATCCCAGTAGCGTAATAAGGAGGGGGCGGTAGGGGCGGTCCGCCCCGGGTGCCAAGCATCAGGAGGTCACAACAGATTGCGATTGGTATCATATAGCTAATTCTGGAGGGCACCAGACCATTCCGGGGTGCGTGCTTAGTTACCCGCGTGGATTTAAAAGCTTAACGCAGTAGCGCAGTACTGCTCTACCGCTACTATGTTTATGAACAGTTATACGATTGCATGTTTGAGTTTGTATTGAAAAATATGATCGCAAAAACGCTAACAATATATTGAAACATTGGCACTGCCAATATATTTATGAACTCGACTGCACAAGTAATATTTACATAGTAAAAGTGATTAAATACAGCGCGTTTTAAAACACATCTAGCGCCATCTAGCAGCAACACCGGTAAACACTGATCAATTTTTTTAACATTCTATTGATTATTATGATTACATCATAATCATCTTATTGCCTACTCAACACCATGCAAGTGGTACAAAAATTGTTTTTCGTTTTTGACATAAAGTGGAGTGGATGAAGTGAACTCTTTAAATACCTGTAGACGAAGGCGCGCGCGCTTGACACGCTCCTCTTGACGGCGCACGTCGTCCTTGGTGATGGTGACGGCCGCGATGAGCGGCTGCTCAGGGTTTAAAAAAACGCCCGGGTTCTCGAGGATCACCTGCTTCGTGCCTGTCTGGCCTGAAATCATTGAGTACTCTTTTAAGCGACTTCCGCAAATGTAAGGCCCGGTTTCCACCAAGAGAGAGCCGAGTGTTTTGAATTTTTTTATTTATTTTATTTGGTGCACAAAACAGGGATACAACCATAACATACAAAGCTTTTAAAGCAGGCTATACAGTAAAACTTGTTGCAGCTCCAATAAAAAGTGCACACAACATACAATGCTATTCGAGTTAACAATAATTATACATAATACATAAATTATAAAAATAATTATTTAATGTTAATTAATAATGGAAACAAGTTATTAATAAATATAATGAAATTTAAATCAATAATTCTCTAAGAAATAAAGATGAGAGAGGAATTATTTAAGTAACAATTCATTAACAGCTTTTTTGAATTTGTTTAGGGTAAGGCTGTAGATGTCAGGCACCTCCTCTATATCGGGTGTGAGCTTGTTAAAGTCTCGGCAGATCCTATGCATGGCGCTGTGAGAGGACGCGTTACTGGTACATAGTGGCACTTCGAATGTTCGGGGGACTCTAAGGGAACGTTTTGGTATTTTAATTTGGACTCGAGACAAGGTCTCTGTAGAAACCGACCCATTGAGGATCTTGAATAAGCAGAATATTCCATGAGCTTTGCGACGATAATATATAACCAATCAGATGTCATTATTTCCACATCTCTTCACCGCTGTGCACGACGTCGCCGCTGTCAAATTCTATAGAAAAATTCGTCCTCCCGATACTTCTCTGCTCCGCTTTGGTGAAACTCGGGCCTTAGGCGCACTATACATCAAAACGTTTATCTCATACCTCTTTAAACGAAAAGTATTACATTCCCGCCAAAATTATATTAAAATAAAACAGGTCGTGCTGATACTTGATAAGAAATCGCAGCTTGATATCTTTTGGCGGTTTTACTCATAATTTATTCATCACATGTGATGTTAGCAAATTACAATGGAGTGGACTCACCTGTGATAGGCTGTGATGAGACGTGCAGTGCAGTAGCTAGTGACTGTATGGTGGTGGCATCAGATGTATATGGTCCCAGTGGTTTTATGTATTTCGGCAGCGATGTAGTGCCTATCACGCCATTGGCATCGCAAGCAGACAAACCCTATAAAATATTGTATGTGGTAAGTAAATTCGATAGTGAAAACATAGGCTTCACAGACAGTAGCAGAAGGAAAGCGCATATTAATTTATAAAAAAGTTTTACTGAAGTATCTTACTTCCAATCTTTTTTCCCAAAACAACTGCTTTGGCTTTTCTTGTGTACCATGTTTCAGATCAGTTTTGACCTTGCTTTCTTGGGTCTTGTAAACAGTAACAGGTTGCTTGAAAATGGATGCAGTTTGCCGTATTGGTGGCACTAGAGATGCATCTGAACGAACACCTCTGTGGAAAAGTATAAAACATGACAAATCTTACCGCAATATTAATTTTACATGATTTAATAGTCTACTAATTGTATATGCAACACTACACTTAATATAGAATTTGACCTATATGTATAGTCCATGCTAATAGAACTAAATAATAATGTAAATATGAAAAAAACATTGTAAAAAAACTTATAAGATTTAATTACTTTTTTATAAGATTTAATTTATTTAATTACTTCACTAGGAATAGGGAGTAACATTTAGAATTTGGTTAAAATATTAATTGAATAGACCATAAATTGAAACTATTTTCAGTAAAGGTACTAACTGTAACTACACATATTTAAAATCATTAATTCTAGTGAGTATCTAAACTAAATGACACTTACAACAAAAACAAAGACATCACAATTGCTAAGTTTGTGCATGCTACATAAATCATGCTTTATCTATTAACACACTAGTCATAGAAAGTGCAGTAAAATAATTGTAAAAGTGATTGTTATGACCAAAAATGTTTTTCAATAAATTAAATTCGTTTTTTGAAAAGTATTTTAGTGAATGTTATTGGATATTTTCAATCAATTTCTGAGAATTTTGAATGGTGAAAGTTTAATTATATGTATGTTAAATGGTAACTACAAACCATGTTAGAGGCAGATAAATGAAGTACCTATATGATTCAATTATCACAGAATTTCTAAATAAAAAGCTTACACTTGGGTATTAATTCTGCAAAGCTAATAGAATATTAGATAGATATCAGAAATAGAATTGGTGTAGTGTTGTAAGCACCAACATAAAGCCTAAGCCTCTAAAATGGATATGGTTAAGCAGGTACAATATTTGTTGATTTTGTGATTGAAGCTGTGCAGTTTAGTTTTGTCAGACACTAATAAAATACCAACTAACACATCCTCAGACAAATCCAAGAGCACTAGGGAGGTCTAAGGCACACTTACAAGCTTCTATCAGTAAACAGCATAATAAATAGGAACACAAAGCACAGGACTGCACTATTGACAACAACACAAGTGAATAGTTACGGCACTAATGTGGGAACCTGTAATCGAACTGCGCCCGTGCTTTCTTGGCCTTACAGAGCAGCATTGTGTTTATCTGACCCTGCTGAAAGTCGAAACACGACAGGTCCATACTATCACCGAGATAACGAACTAGCTCGGGTTTACTGCGAAACTTTTTACCTGTTGGGCTACAGAAAATTTATTGTCACTGACGGGTGTTGGTGGTTAGTTGTTACTCTTCTATTTCTGTGTCAGTTTAAAGCATATAAAATAAGTACACACTTCACTGCATAACATGTCCAATATACTAATGTTTACACTCAAGTGATATCAATGTTAGGATCCAATGAGATTTTAGTAATGAAATTTATCACAATATTATTTATATTACGATCAGTGATGATGTTTCATTGGACTTATTTATCAAAGACAGCAAACGATAGATTTATACATGATTAATAGTTTAAAACATAGAACTCTAGTTGTATGTACCTGTAATAATAAACATCAACTTTTCCCGCAGAAAGACCTGTTTTTCGTAACACTTCTTCTCTTTGCCATCCTTTAGGCAAAGCTGGACAATCCATTTTCTTCCTTTCTATTGATATATTCATTTTAAAACCGTCGTTGGCCGTGGTATATTGTTGTAAAATTAGATGATCAACAAAAAACCAACACGATTCACTATGCAAATTCTGATAATTATGAACTTAGTTGTATTAGAATCAATGTAATATCCTGTCTCTGATTGCAATTAAAATAAATTACAAATCTGCTTCAGATGTACAGATAAACTTTAATTAATTTAATTGAAATTGAATTTTATAAGAATCGATTGTAATGCAATGAAAAAAATGGACACAGAATAGAAATGGACGCACAGCGCAAATGACATAATGACATTAATGACAGATATGATGACAGCTGCCAAAAAGATTGCCAGATATAAAGATAATATTACCCAAACTGTATGAGGGACCTCGGGGGCCCGGGCGCCCGCCCCCCAGGCAAAAGGATTTTTTTACCGCTTCAAAAATCAAAATTTCTTAAACAAAGTAACCACGTACAGCAAAACTGCCGGAGCAAAGGGTTTTTGAAATTAAAACTGTCAAACTGCCACTTATCTATAGGGGCTGCTCCCTTCATTTCGGGAAAAAAATCTAGCTTGTAACCCTGAAATACACATTTTTTTTAATTATCACAGATAAAAGGTACATATTTGAACGATTGTCTGAACTTTTGACATCATTAAGTGTTTGAATTGTCAAAAAGTATATGTTTTGTGGTAACACTGTATGAAATCGGTCATAAATTGCGATTTTTTTTCATGTAAACGGTTGTGGTTTTTCGACAGATTTTCAGTGATAGGATTTCGTGAATAAGTGTTTATTTTATTTCTTATAACAAATAAGAGAAGCTAAGTTATTCACACAAAGTTACACACTTCATGGCATCCGTTTATGTAAGTGAATTCTCTTGGTATTTATTGCTGTGATGTCAACTTTTGGAGGAAGATACTTTCACTTTGATATTTTCATAGTTTTTACGTATTCGTGCCAATGATTTTATATGTGCTGATCTTTACTTTAACGTACCAGATTGATCTATTTTAAGAACTTTTACACATTGCCTTATTAACATCAAAAACTCCCAAGATACCTGTAGTGCCAATCTCATTGATTGCATTAGTATTTTAAAGTTGATAAAACCCTAACAATACTGCAATTATAAATACAATTTTTCAACTATGATGCATTCTTCTTACCCTACACATGTTTGCAATGTAAATGTTAAAAGATTTAAGGGTAGTAGAATACTTTTTCTACAATTTTATTCATAGTATGTTTCAACCAACCTCTTCAGAAACTACCTAGTTTAAAATTGGTCTTTCAGTTTAAATGTTCATTTTAATAATATTTCATACCGTCTTTAACATTGCTGAACCGAATATTTTAATTTATACAAAGTTTTCGTAGATCAAGATTCAACCAGATAACATTCACATGCAATCCTAAGATACTCAAGCTCATCTGAAAGAGCTCATTATGTTGATTCTCAATCATTAAATAACTCAGTTTTGCCAAAAATCGGAGTTACTCTCGATATCAAATATCATGGCAGTATTATAATTACTTTAAACTTTGCAAATGAAAAGTAACCTTCAACGAGAGGTACAAAAAGGCGGGCCTGCAGGCTCAGAGACAGATATTAAATTTTTAATATGCCTTTGGTTGGCACTCTTTAAAGCTGTATCTCCTATTGAGTGTGACAATATTAATTTGTTAATATTAATCATATTTTCATATAAATAAACCATTATTGCTTTAGAGATGCCGTTTTGTGTCATATGAAGATAAAATTGACATCATATGACACAAAATGGCATCTAAAATAAAAACATTTAATAAGTTAATGAAGATGAAGATGCAACTATGTGAAATTGGATACCATTGTGTCCAATCCTACACCTATGACATACATAAATGTTTAAAAACTTATTCCCCCAAAGCAGCAATTTGAATGAATTTTCAACCGACTTAAAAAAAGGAGGAGGTTCTCAATTCGACCCGTATGTTTGAACAAATCTGATTTTGGGCGTATAGGTATTACCTCAAGGGTGGTCCCATTTAAATTTAATAATAAAAAAACAACCCCCAAGGGTGGAAAATTGGGGATGAACTTTTTATACGCAATATCTCCGCCGATTATAAACCAATTTGAACGATTATTTTTTTGTTGAATAGGTATTATCAAAAGGGTGGTTTCATGCGAATTTGAAGAAAATATTTCACCCCCAAGGGTGGAAAATTGGGGATGAACTTTTTTATACGCAATATCTCCGCTGATTAAGAACCAATTTTTTTTGGTCTCAGTGTACTGCCTACCTTCAGTGGTAACATCAAGGTAATAATAAGTTAACTAAAAAGCAAGAAATAAGTAAAATTTTATTAAAAAAAAAACCGACTCCAAAAAACCTACACTAAAACGTAGAAAAATAATTACTAATTACCTACTTATTTATTANACTAAAAAGCAAGAAATAAGTAAAATTTTATTAAAAACATAAAACCGACTCCAAAAAACCTACACTAAAACGTAGAAAAATAATTACTAATTACCTACTTATTTATTATGACGAATTATTAATATTTATGTAGGTATAACTACCATGATTTCCCTTCCCTCCGGACCTCTGAGGCGTTCAGACGTGTGTTTAGTTCGTGTAAAGAAATTTTTAAAATAATATTTTAATTTTTGCTAAGTTTAACCCGGCCGAACTACCAGGAGCGCAGCAACAAGTGAAGATCGCCTGCGCATTGGGTGAGTGAAACATCCCTATGTGCGTGAGTGCGTCCGCTATACTTATCATCGCCTCGCCGTTCAAACCACTCCTACGCATCTAGTGGGTGTGCGCTAGAGCAAGCCCCGCCCCTTCACCAGTTCATTTGCCGTCGGCTCCGTGCGTCATTTAGGCCTACGAGAAATTATTCATCTAACAATGCCGAGAGTTCAACGTTCACCGCCTCTTAACAGCGCTTCGGCTATCAATGTCGAACCAGAAAAACCTCCCTCTCACTACGGATCTGACTCAGAATTAAACTTGTCATCATCTGGGCTAGTGAGGCATGATAGTGCGGTAAATATCTCAAAAAGAGTGAAGCGCAGGCTCGCAGACACGCCGGATCGCCCAGATGAATTTTTATGCGAGTTCAAACAAATGTTCGACAGGCTGCACTCATATCAGGAGGAGAAATTTATTTCCCTTAACTCATCAATTAACACCTTAATTGAACAAAATGCCGAAATCAAAAAGTCAATGGACATTATGTCGTCCCAATATGATGCTCTCGTTAACAAGGTTGAGTCACTTGAAACGGACAATCAGCTATATAAATCTCATATCAAGTCGCTTGAAACTAAAATAGATATGTTGGAGAGAGATTCAAAGTCTGCGTCAGTGGAAATACGCAACATCCCGAAACTTGACCAGGAAAACAAGAAATCTCTGTGTGACATTGTACAAACCTTAGCCTCGGCCATAGACTTAACTCCCCAAGTTCAAGACTCCGAGATCCGCGACATTTTTCGTATGAAAAATCAAACAGTAGTAGTGAATTTCACTACCACGTCAAGGAAGGAGAATCTGGTTCGAAGATTCAGGGAGTACAATAAAGAAAAACGCCTGTCCAATAAAGCCACGATTGAAACCTCGACTCTTAAGCTTCCCGGTCCAAACAAAACTGTGTTCTTATCGGAAGCCCTTACAGCGAAAGCTCGTCGAGTATTCTATCTCACAAGGGAGCTTGTTAAAGAACGTAAAATTGCGGCCACCTGGACTTCGTTTGGGAAGGTGTACATCAGGAAGGACGAAGATCAACCCCCAATACGAGTGAATGAAGAGAGCGAAATTCCAAAAATTTTTTTATAATATTTTTTTGTCTATTTTATATTTCTTTTCTACTTCTGCCAATGTATTTCAATGTTTACAAACATTCCGAAGCTGGCTACCAATTCTTTTGCCATTCTCAGTCTTGTTTGCTATATGCCAGCCTGTACATGGCCTACTTGTATATTGTTTTCGAGGTATGCCTCACCAAATATAATTTTCTGATTTATGTTTATTGTATAATGATCTGCAGAATTAAGTCATCTCAACATACTGCTGCTGTCTTGCACGTATCTTATTGGTATTCTATTTGTTTTTACAAAACAATTTCTCTTAAGCTAGGAGCATCAACACATACACACACACACTCACATAACTCACTCAATAAACACCACACTACAAATTTCATTCATGGGGGGAGGGAGGGGGTCCTGATCACGGTTTTAACCATTCTATTTATTTCTGTCAGTCACGTAAAGCTCGTGACGCAATTATACTGTTTCAATAAAATCACCTACATATAATGCAAAATATTAACACCTTAAACCTTGATCTGGACTCCCTGTCTCCCTCCCGTGTGATTACGTGTGGGGTCGTTGACGTTAAGGAAAATATATTTACTGATAAATTATCCTTAAATGTTCTAATGCAAAACATCTGCAGTATAAACTGTAACCTAGATAACTTCGAAACACTCCTACAAAGATCTGAAGTGGCCTGGGACGTATTGGTATTGACGGAATGTTGGCTTCCAAAAACTAATATTGTACCTAGTCTAAATAGCTATGTTCATGCGGCCACCTTAACCAACCTCACACAAAACGAAGGAGTTGTAATATATCTCAAAGACCACTTAAAAGGAACCTTCGAGGAACCGAAAGTCGAGGATTGTAACTGCCTACTATTAAAATTCAACAATGGGACCTGTATTATTGGTGTCTATCGACCTCCAGGCTACAAGGACCCTACCAATTTCATCAACTCAATGGACGCTTTACTCTCTAAATTAACTACCTTTAAAAATATTTTCCTTTGTGGTGATATTAACATTGATATCTCACCAAATAGTTCTGACAAATATTCCAATGATTATCTAAATATGCTGGCTGCCCATGGGATCCTCGCTGGGCATTCCGAAATTACTCACGTTCGAACCTGTCTCGATCACATAATGATAAAGTCCAAACTTGAAGCTGCCTGTATAGTCCTGGAGACCTCTATCACTGACCATCAATCGGTAGCTGTAAGCATAAACCTCAAAACCCAACTGAGCTCCCATAAGAAGTATACATCTCACATCGACTTCCAAAAATTAGATGAACTGGTCCAGGAGATTGATCTTGGTTCCGTACTTATGTGCATGGACCCTAACAGCGCGGCTAGCTTGCTGGTTGAGCGATTAAATACAGCTATCTTGGAAAGCTCTTCCACTAGAA